TGGAAAGCGAAGACGGTAAAATTTCTTATACTAATGCATGTATGTATGTATGTGCAATGTGCATAGGGGTAATGATGTGGTTGACATCACTTCACGGTCACTATGGTGTCAAATGGCAATGATGCCAAAGGAGCAACAAAGCTTATTGGCAGTACAATATAATAAGAAAGAAAGAAAAAATAAGAAAAACTCAGCTATGCCACATGCTCTACGGGCACATACTCACATACACATGTATGATAGGTATGTAGATGTACATGCGGTGTGAATTTGGTTTATACTTATATAGTATATTGTTGTTTACGCCCGCTTACTTAATATTATTTCGTTTGTACGTATATGTGTATGTGGATGATTCGAATTGAAATGCCATTCGTGTCTAAGCATAGCGAATCCTGATCATTTATACTCGTATATGTACAAGTATGTGTATTATAACCCAATAAGCACGGAACGGAAAACCGAAGCTCAAGATTTTTAATAAAGTAAACAAGTGTTAGTGAAAACCAATTTAAAATAAATTATTTAAACAAACAAGAAAACATGTATACATATCCAAATTATATATTAAAAAGTATTTCTAAGAAAAGCCATTTTTTTTTTTGAAAAACCGTACATGAAAATAATTTGCGCTTTGAAACCGCTGAAGCGAACTCCCACCGATCTGCTCCTCCAATCCTGTAGGTCTTATCAAAAAGAACAAATTCGACTCTTACTTCATGGAAAACCTTAAAAAAGAAGTTCTTCTTCTTAACCAAATCTATAAAGGAGGAAATTTAAAGTACAAAAAAATAAAAAAAAATATAAAAAATAACTTCACCTTATTTTTCCCATATTGTTTATAAAAATGTTGTTAGTAATTTGGAGTCTTTAAATGCGCTCGAGCTTTTTATATAGCTAATTGGGTTGGAAGCTTTGGCACTGTAATCGTTACAGCCCGAGTCGACCGCTATTCTTTAATTGGTTTTTAGAACTTGGAGATTTTTTTTCATGAAATTTTCAAATTATATAAAATTTATATTATAGAATTTAATTTTAGGGAAATTAGTAATAATTGCAATTGGGAAAATCTTTCTGTTATATTTTCTCCGTGTGACGTATTCTTATATACTATGTATTTGATTTTGCACATTTCTGGGAGAAATTATTTTTGCTATTTTCCATTACCTGCGTATACATACATATAATATTTGGCCTTAGAAGAACTCTTGTAAAATATTCACAGAAATCATTATATAGAAAGTTTGCATTTGAATCCAAAATGTTCTTTTAGGAGCTTGCTAATGTGTTAAAAGGTTGTACGCTGCTTTCTCGGGAAAATGCATTAAAAAGTTCTTATCTTTTTATTCTAAGCAGATATATGTTTACGTACGTTTTTTAACTTCTTTTTAAATAATTTACTCCAGAAAATGAGAATTTGGGTTTGTCTAAAGCGAATCTCTTTCGGTTATGAGGTGAATCTGTTGTGCTTGCTGGGTAAGTTCACTTTGCTGCTGTGTTAAGGATAAAGAATATAGCGAAACGTGCGAGCTTTCAGCTAAAGCATGCGTTAAATGTCTTCATCTTTTGTGAAAATTGTGTTAGAAAATGTAAACATACATATATATATATATACATATATGTACCCTAAATAGAATTGGACGAAAAGCTCAAAAAAGAGTATTCCGAGATCAGACAAAATCAAGTCTAAGTTCGCTCAGTCACAGTATTGGCATTGCATAGTAAAATAGTTATGCCGAACTTATTTCTACAGGGTGAGTACAGCGACTCTGGTGCACTAAGAACCACTCAAACTGCTGAAGCGAGCCACACAACGTATTACGGCAGAGAATGCTCTTAGAAGCGGCAAGGGTAGATGTGGGGACTGCAGGAAAGCGGTTGCATATATAGTGGGTTCCAGGCATTTTAAGAACCGTCTGGTTACCGAATCAGCACAAGAAATATCGCTTAAAGTGAGGCACAATGGCAGTTCCGAAAGGGTTGATTAACGGATCAGCTGGATAACCAAGATCATGTGAAAGAGTACCGAAGGAAAATGAGCAGAGAAGAATTCCAGCGTGGCGTGTTGTCCTAAGGCCGGCTCATAACGTACTAATCATCCGTGATCCGTGAATGTCTGCTTCTCTCCGGACTTACCTGGCACTCTCTTAGAGTTCAAAGGACTAGAAGAAGTATCAAAACTTCCACTTAATTATTTTTGAAATTAAATATAATTTAATTTACGCTTCCGGGTAGACAAATTTCCTCAGCTACAAGTGAACAGTTCATTTGAATAGTTCTGTGCGACCACTTCCGGACTCATTGTAGACGAGTCTTATACTATTCCAGACCTGCGGCCAATATGTGCATAAAATGCTTATCACTAAATTGATTACAAAGTGAAATGGCAGTGCGTCTAACAATATTTTTATATTCATGCATGTTTGTACATACTATAGTCAAGTGTATATGTGTAGATCTACATGTGGACAATCCCATTTACATCTTATGCTCATATGCATATACAGGACATTTGGTGAGCTAATTTAGGGTTATAGCCCCCATTCAGTTGGTGTGATTTCCGCTTATAAACGAGTGGATATATTTGTAATGAGATAAAATATTTTTGATGAAAGGTTAAGCTTCTACGTATTTTTTTTATTAATCAGTTCTTCAAATGACCTTGCATTTATTTATTTCCACTGGATTATTTGCCTTGTCTGGGTGAAAACGTCTCTTTTTCGAAGGAAAAGCAATTTTCATGCAAAGTTTATTCAGTCTATGTACTTTTCACATTTGTCTAGTTTGTAATTTTTTTAAATATCGCATCACGATGTTTGAAATATTTAATTTTGAAATTATGAATGAGGGATTGCACTGCATCCATGCGAAAAGTTTCTCTTTATTTTGACTTTTTCTTGTGAAACATTTGAAAACAGACGAAAAGTTCTATTTTTAATTTTATTTCCTTTTTGAAACCGTTAATTGCTCAGATGAAACGAAATAGTTGACCTACATATATCACATTTTTAAAGACATTCATTGCTCAACCGTTATTCGGAAAAAAATTCTATATCCCTTACATTAGCTCAACCGTACCCTGATTTACTTGAAGTGATTCGAAAACATGTGAAAACAAATTTCCCTAAATTTACTTTTAAAATGTGTTTATTGTTCCCACAAGGCGCACATTTACGACTACTCATTTGTATATGTATGTATGTATTTGAAAAAAATGCAAAAATATGTATGTATAGTACAAGCTCAATCCTCACGCTTCTTACTCCATAACCAAACGCCGAAAAGCCTGATGAAGCTGATAAGAAGCAAGGAAATGATATTCCTTGTAGTTTGTCATCTAATCTCTCACTGGAATGTGTTCAAATGTGTGTGCGGTATGTGCGTGTGTATGTATACATCGCGCTGCATAATTTGCCTAAATTTGTATCGCGTCTCCAACAATCCACCGATAAACGATTTCTTTCTTTACAAACATATACCGATTTATGTGCGTATGCCAATGTATGCCAATCTGTTGTTGTTGTAGTAAACATACAATTTTCTTTTAAGGATTCCATGGCACAACAGCGATTTAGTGGCAAGATTTGCCATTACTTTTGTCAATTATTTGAGCTCCACTTAAAGGGAATGTGGTAGAAGCCGTTGCAGAGCGTGATATCCATACTCGTACATACATACATACACGTGTATGTACGTAAAAGTGGTATGAAAGCGCTATTTTAAAAGTGTTGAGAATTCAAAAAAAAAAAAAAAAAATTCTTTTAATCTTAAAAATCGCTCTATTGATCTTTATTGCTAAGACGAATTTTATATTTTGTTAGCCCAAGACTAAACTTAAATTACCGTAACCGACATTACTTATATGGTGCAGTATGTCTACTTTGCATATTTGGTCAATTGATATATGTGACGGAATTGATTTAGTAGTTTCGAAATAATTTCCGAACGGGAAAAATTTGGCCTGTGCCGGAAATGCAAATTCAACTCAGAAAAAAAATCTTAGCTCGTAAAGAATGGTTATGGAAAAGAGTCATCAAAAGTTTACTAAACGAAAAAATTGCTAATATTTTTGAAATATTTTCATAATTGGAATTCTTTTTTGAAAAAAAAAAACACTGTCAGTAAATACAATACAAATGAGTTTTTTAATAAATTTTATTTAATATAATTTCAATTTATTTTAAAGCTTTGAAAGTTTATGAAAGATTTGCTATTTACTGAATTTTCTGTCCCAAACTTGTAGCTTTTGCGACATTAAACTAAAAACCAGTCTCTCACCGTGATTATTTTCATCTCCCCTACCTAATAATTATTCGTATATGCTGAAACTGCTTGGTTTGATCTATAAAACACACGAGATTATTGGCACTTGCTGACGCAATATCTCCTAGGAAGTCAAAGTAAATACCGAAGCAACAGTATCGGGATGCAATCAAGGCGGGCAGAGGAAGAGATATTGCACTACTTACTCCTCCTCGTTTATATTTCTCCAGACATGACTGATGTTGTTAGGGAAATCTGCTACTGCCTTGAGTCCGCATCAGAGAATATCTGGTTATTACGTCGGTTTTTGTGTTCGTGGGAGTTCTGTTTATAAGGAGTAGAGACTCAGTTTTTGTTGCATCGTTCCACGCTGCCATCTGATATTGGCGTTGCTGGTGAAGGTCTTTGCAGGTATTTTATTTTCATAGGAAAGAGGTATGCACTTCGTTGTCTTCGAAGTTTTTTGGGATGTCTCTATGACCAGGGACCAAACTGTTGTCGTTTCGTTTGAGAGTGTTGTCCAAACAAAAACCATTTTCTAGTTTCATACATAAATTATTGCCAAAAACAAAAAAATTGATTTTTCTATAAATTTCGATGCTTGGTAAAACCAATACACCAACTCTGGCCTTCCGAGTATTAGCACGAAATGCTAACCACTCGGCTATTGCGCTCTTATACTAACATATCTTAGTATAGTAAATATATAAATGAATAAACATAGTGCGCCTACTCACCTCATAGAAATAGAAGGAATTTAGGCTGTCATTTCCCATTCTCTCCGTCGTCGCGGGTGGTGATCCCAAAACTGTACGCAGCGCATCCTGTGTAGTCGCGTTGCTGCCTCTTTGTGGTATTGTCATGTTTGGTTCTATTAGATCTGTTTGAATATCATATGACGCCATTGACAAAGTCGTTGTATGAGCAGTGGGCGCAATATGGACGACATGCGTGGCAGCGGGTTCGAAATATGAGTAAGCCAAATTGAGGGATGAGATGAAATCGCTTGATGCCAGGCCGCTGTCATTGCCTACTTTTGCGTAATTGAAATCATGAGCCATGCCATTTGTCCTGTCGAAAGCAGCAACTACAGTAGCACTTATGCTCGCATAAGTCGTTGCCGAATTATCCGCAATTGTTGGCTGTGATAAGCGTTCATAGGCCAACACGGCAGGAGGCTCCACGGCATAAACGTGCACATTTATTCTGCTGACCATCCTGCACAGGCTAGAGCCTGCCGTGGTCTTCTTATTTTAAATTGCCTGAATGTATAATATATTGAAAAAGACCTCGTAAGAGATCTCAATTTATCGTGAACTGTTTGCCAGGATGTAGAAGAGTAGGAGATTTTTCCCATTACTCTGTTGTGACAGCTTCCCTTGAGTTATGGTTTCTAATTTGTTATTCAGATATTTCCATGATAGTTCGTGCATTTCCTTGATGGCATGTATTATAACAATCGTTTATTGTTGTAGCGATTATGCCCCCATTCTTCTTGGCAGATGTACTAATGTTTGTGATTTCATTCGTGTACATGTTTGTATGTAAGAATGAACGAAAAGGTTGCGGCATCAGAAATGGAATGAGAGCTTCTGAGTTAATAAGGGATGCCATATTTAACCAACACCTTCATAATAAGTACACGGCAACAGCCAGCTACACCTGCAATTTAAGGGAAATATTATTTTTATACTGGAAAGGCTGAGCAATCGAAGAAGATGCGAAAATAAAATTCCTTGTATTTAAAAATTCATCAATATGGCACATATACATACACATGTTCGATAAATCTAATGCACAAATTTCGATTAGTGATAGAAAGCCGAATGCGATTATTCAAATCCGATTTTCGATTGAAAAAAGTTAATGCAAATCTTTCTTATCTAAAGAAAAGGGAAAAAGTTATTGATGAAAATTAAATGTTTTTGTGAAAAATAAAAATTCACCTTCTTCTTTGGCCACACCTTACATTGCTTTGTATCGATTAATCGAATAATAGCAGCGCCTTAATCAATCAAAAAGCCGTGTGGAATGGAAAAACGGATCACCCAAATTATTCGTTAAAATAATGTATTTATTTATAAGTTAAGCATTTATAAGTACAGCGAAGCAGTTCTAAACTCAAATTGTGAGTTTTAAGTAAAAGAGAGATTACCATTGGAGGCTGGAAACGGCCTTAATTACCGATTTACATTCGCACACATTTCTTATGAAGTTCAAAAGGGGAAACAGCTTACACGATTATTTGCCGTAATTCGTTTCGTCTAATCACTGTTGTTGGCAATACTGCTATTATTGGTGTTAATGCTGGTCCATAGATAGATAGGTGAAATCAAATCGTGGGCCTTAAATAATCGTATTTGAAGAGGTTGTCACCAATAGGGAGGGTCTACCATCCAAGGTATGCTGTTCGTTTTACCCCTTGGGGCATTGTTTTTTGTTTAGGGTCTCAAGCCCTGAGCGCAACGATGTGGGACTTCCAACTTTAGCTCGCCGCCAAGCAGATATTTGTTAGCGACCAGAAGGGTACGCGGTCTAAGACCGGGAGTTGTGTGCTGCCGCCCCAAATGTAAAATAATAAATAATAATAAATTGTACAAATTTAATCAATTGTGTTCGAAATGTTCAATTAAGTTGTATAATCACCGCTCATTATAACTATACAACTATGCAGTATGTATGTATGCCACACACACTGTTGTTTACTTCCAAACGATGATGAAAATTGATTTGCTCTTAAAATTCGCTTTTCTAATTTCTAGGACAAGCAACACAATTAACGCAAACTTTTCCAGCGTCTTCATATTGTAGTTGAGGTATTGCTATAAGCGTTGTTGACATAACCACATGCATATACTTGTACGAGTATATATAGATATATATTTGTATATATGTAAATGCTAATGGAGCTGCATTGGCACGCTTAATTACTCATAACGAGTCTGATGAAGTTTCTAAGCAATTCTTCTTCGGCTCTTGGCAATTGAATTTAATGAAAGTCAGTGAGTTTTTACCACAATAATTTCTATTACACTCTGTCGATAAAATTGGCGCCGTTGAAGGTGATAACAAGGAGAATTTAGAAAATATTTCTCTTAAATTCTATCTCTTTAATATGACGGCGATGCCGGACCAAACGACTGAACCGATTTTGATTTTACCTAAAACTAATATCATAAGTGGCGCCATGGCCAGGGTAATTGTAAACAGATATAGAGATGAGGAAGCGCCAGAGGCAAGGTAGATCATTTTTGCCAAGTAGAAGTGAAGCATAAATGTAGTAACAGAAAAATCTATCAATCTAATCGGCTTTTACTGGATCGAAAGACTCGAAACGATATCAACCATGTTGTGATAGATGAAATACACATCTCCAGGGTCCTAACATCGATTCGGATCACTATTTTGTTACAGTCAAGGTACGCATCCATCACTTCACAACCGAGAATGCGCGCCAACAAACAATGTGAGGGTGAGAAGTCAAAAAGCAGCAATCACAACCGACAGCCAAACAGTTTTCACTTCGAATTGAACTTCTGCTTTCTGAGAGCACTCATCAACAGCTCGGTATAAGGGAACTGTAAGACGGCATTCCAAGCTCCTTACAACGAGAATTGCCGTGTCTTAATAGAGAGAAAAAAAGACTACCTATATAGCTATCACAACGGTATGTGAAAGATGGCGAGAGTTGAGGTGGCGAACGCGAAATCCTAATCGATGACGATAGTATAAATTTCTTTAATATCACACATTTGAGTCTTATTGATCTGTATTTATAGCGCTATGTCTGAGTTTGGTATGAATTAGAAAAGGACTTTTCCGAATTGTGCGGTATCAAACGATGTATCAGGCGGTGTAACCTTTTATCGTGTGACTTTTTAAACTTAATGCTCAGTAACTTCAACCGTGAACTGTGTAGGCAATCGATAAGTCCTCTCTCAACGAACAAAGACCAAGCCCTATATCATTCCCATCCTGCTACACAGTCCAAAGTTGACAACAGTTCATGATTCGGCGTTAGAAGTTTATTACTGGAGACTTAAAAAGGAGGGACCTACCAAACCTACCTAACATTCACAAAAACCCAAAATTTTTTTTTTTTTATTTCTGAAAATGGATGTTTTGATGCCACAAGAAACCTTTATTATTATATATGTAAGATTTCTTTTGACAAAATAGTTTCATTTTTGTTATATGTTTATAAGGAAATGGTACACTCCAGACCACAATAACCATGCAAAGCAAACTATGTAATATCCATTATATCTATTATATCTAAGGGTTCTTTGCGAATTTTATTTAAGATTGAAGTTCTGAGTCGTTTTTAAATACAGAATATAAGCATCGTCGAAAAGTTTTATGGGCAAAATCGTATACTTAATTAACGCTTCCGATAGATATTGTACATTTTATAAATAAATCAGTTTTTTTTACTGTTACTTACTTACCATTTGCACATTCCAATGTACGTGTATGTGCATCATCAACACAAAGCTCAAAATATTAACAGAAGGTCAGAAGTGTGTATGTGAGTGGCAGAAGGAGAGGAGGAAGACCAGCCATGGATTGTCAATTGCGGTGAATGTAGGTTAAATTATCATAAAATGTAAACACGTAAACAAAGTTTCGCACTTCATGGACCACTGTAAGGGCACAACCGAAGAAAGAAAATATGACACCGTTGCTTCCATCTCTTTAATATGCCTTGTTTGAGCTTGATTTCGTTAAATTTCAAATTGCCAATATGAGCATTAAAAAGCAATAAATTAATTACACTTTGTAAGCTCGTACATATGTATGTGTGAACAATACGTCTGTAAATATGTACATATTAACATATTTGATTTTCCTTTCCTATGGAACTATTCACCCCACCCCACGGCCACAAACTTTTCGCTCGCTCAACTTGCTGCATCACATAAAATCCTTCATTGAGTTTGTATGTATGTATGTATGTATGTAAATATGAATGCGGAGCAATGATTTTGACGTTTATGGAAATTTTGTGGCGGCATGGAATCTGGTGTTTATATTTGCTGCTCCATCAAAAGTGCTGTTTACACTTCATATAATACATATGTAATATGTATGTATGTACGTGTATGTACATATTGTATATAGAATGTGGTTTTAACGTCTCCTACACATGGCATTACTAAGGGAGTTTTTTTTTCTTTGAAGGTTTGATGGCTCGTTTTTCCTGCCACAATCCAATTCATAAGACGTTAAAGGCTACAACTTACTGCTAACTGCATATACTGGTGTATTGACTTTATAATTTATTAGATACTAATGTATTTACCACTTGGATTTAGTGTTATAAAGTAGAAAGGTGAAGAATTATTTCTTCGACGCCACAGCTAATTTTGTGAATTTTTATAGAGTGAATTGAAATTTTGCTTTTCAAGGTAACTCAGACTGGTTGGCTGAAAGAGTGGGACAAAGGACCTGACCTTAAGGATGGAGCGGGAAGTGTAAATGATGTGATGCCCCAAGCGGTTGAAGGCTCAACACTCGCAACGGTATTGCTACACCGTTTCGTATATGTTTTGCATATCACGGATTCCTCTTTAGGTCCGCCTATTATCCTTAACCTTAATACAACATTTTATATCCCGCGTTCCAGCTTTGTATCGAGACATCCCTTGACTGTCTACCAGAAACCTCATAGATTTTCTTATGAAGGCGGTAATGCCCACAATGTCTGCTTGGACGACTGAATTGTATCACTGAATTCGAGGCTACGTTGGTTATGGGCCGGACACAAAAGAACCTTTTTACGTTACCGTCTTCCGTCCATTCTTCCCTGTTAGGGAAGGATTAAGTGCCATCCACTCGGCTAAAGGGTTCCGTTTCTCGGTCGCATTTTACGTTTATGCCGAATTGTGAAAAAATTTTCTGAATGCTGTCGTGTCCTTCACAATGTAGGAACTAAATGCAATAGTCGAGACAATTTAGCTGGCTAGTTGTTAGTGCTGATTCACACCACACTTTTGTGTTATTAGACCTAAGAAAAGGCTTTGTTGAGGGAGTCCCCATCGCGCCTGCTATACCATGTGGACAGGTGCACTGCTCCTGTTTCAAGGGTTTAATACTCAAGTTTTATTTCAATTCAATTATTTTTGTGGTAGCTGTGCGCTAAGCTTAATTAAACAAAGCATAGAAGAAATTGGTTCAGCTCGGATCAAAATGTCATAAAATGTGTGTAGGCTTTTTTGTCGTTGTCGGTTTACTCAAAGAGAATTCCTTAGAATTTTGGCAACGTGTGAATCATGGCATGAGGTATATACGTTCCCTAACTGTTGATTTTCGACCTGAAAACCGTCACAGAGGCCACGCCGAAAAGTTTCGTATGAAATCAATAAGCTCCCGAATAACTGGCCACTAATAAGAGGTACATGAGTATAACATTGAAACCAAAGTCCGTTCGTTCAATTGAGAGAGCTCAGTAAAGTCAAGGCCGAAATAACCTCCCAGAATTCGAGCAAATGCCCAACACTCGGCCAAAGCTTCCACGAAAGTCAAAAAGTTTTTTAGAATTTCACCGAATCCATCTCTCCACACCCCTATTCCACGATTTCCTGTTCCCTGGATTGAAGAAATTACGCCAAACTGTTAAAAACTGAATCGCTCAAGGAGACATACTCGATACTACATACGCA